TATTGGTCCCTTTCATATCCCCTATTCACAACACCAATTCTCTTTCAGTTAAAAACATTCTTGCACATACTTGTCAAACACCTAGAAAAGAGATTGTGAACAGTAATAGATGTTTTGCGTGTGATTTCTAATTTGTTCAGGTAAATTTTTCATTTTGTTCTTTTGATTTATTTTGAATTTTCAATGATAACATCATTGAGGTGGTAGAAAATGGGTTGTGCTCTTTTATGCAAAAACAAGAGACTTAAATTGTGTGCAATGGGTTATGGTATATTTATTAAATTAAAGATCTACCTAAATCAACTTCTAATTTTTCAATAATATTTTCTCTTAATAAAAGTTAAAGGTATTCATTTGGATAGGTACACAACATAGTCATATCACAGGAATATAACTAATACCTCAATTGAATTAACACTTTATTCAATAATGGAACTCATTGTTAAAGGGGTGACAAAATACAAAGAGTGGCTTGATATTCACCTCACTGTATATCTATAACGTTGTTCACAGGTTGGTATTTTCTGACCTTTACAGCAATTGACCCCTATATCAAGTGGACAAACAATGCACAGTTTGGTTTTGGACTGATATTGTGTCTAAATTACCCCTATCCTCTTGATCATAATTACTGTTAATTAATCAAACACTCTAGAGCTGATTAGAACCCAGGTTGGTCTTTTTACCAAGGAGATGACCCTATTGAATTGACTATCAGGACATGAGGGGGCCTTTCTGATCCTTAAATATCTATTTAAAACAAAAAGGCACCATGCTGGATTAATTAGGACTGTGAAAAGTTTATGAAGAACTTGTTAATTGTTCATTTTTCTCTTTGATAATCCTGGTATCAATTGCTCTTTTTAATCTTTGATCAAGGGTGGCCCTTACTAATCCTTAAATCCAATCATAATTATATTGTATGAGAAGTAATCTTATATAGTAACAGTAGATTGTTCTGTATAGGTTGAAACCTGCTGCTGGGTTGGAGATAATAATCTTATTAGGGAGTCAAATACTATATTATAATACCAATTGTTACAATGATCTTTATTTTTCATAAATGATTTAATTGCAATTTTCTTACTAGAATGGGGTCTTGTGTTATTTGGCCATGGATTTTGTAATTTTATTCATGTACTCTACGCAAAATTTGACTTTTGGTAGCGATCTGAAAGTAATTGCATCTTCCTCCTCCATACAGTATGTCATTTGATTACAGGTTTTTGTTGCTAGCTTGGCACTTCAAAATCATGTTGAATTCACGTATTGAGTTGTACCTTATTTGATTTCCTTCAAATAATTTATTGAAACCATTTCATTGCCACTTCCTTCAGCTAGAGTAATCAAACATCTAAAATTACAACATGTTTTTTTTAAACAAATTATTTTCAAATCTGATTTGCTTATCTTTATTGAAACAGCAGTAAATCTACAGGAGATCTTGTAAAAGTTTGGATATACTGACATTTCTTACACCTTGCCATCACATTCATTCCTGTTTGTCTTATCTTTTATCATGCAAGTAATTGCCAATTCCAAGATATGGTTGGAATAAATTTATCATATAAACTGCACATTGTCAAATTTCTATGTATCTTGTATATATCTAACTTAACATCAAATGTAAGTTTATCAAATAGTCCAGATTGAAAAGTTCACTAAGTTGATTTGGATCGTCAAGTCTTTTAAACATTAATCTTTAATGGTATTTCTTATCGACTTGTCTTTTATTGTACAGATAAGATTTGATGGTTCTGTAATATGTACAGTTCATATGAAATCATTGCCATAAGGATGGAATTCAGAAAAGTTTTGAAGGTGGTTTGAGGTGCAGGTATTTTATTGACGAAATGGTCTGTTATTTTACAACAATTAACTCTCCGAAAACAAAACAAATATTGCCAGCATCTTGTAGGGTAACTTTTTTTTAATCATCTTCAAATGTCCATTGAATTGCTATTTTGATGTGAACATATATATTTCAGTTTTCTATTTAGAAAATCTTTGTTTGAATGTTGTTTTGCAATATATCCATTCCACCCTATCCCTATCTATAAGATTGGTAGAGTGATAATCTGCTGGTGTTTAATCTAGGAAGATAGTTAAAAGGAAATAAAGATTAAGGATATCAATGAAGGGTTGGTTTCTGTAGAAAATAGCTGATAGAGAATAGATAGACTAGAAGAAATAGATAACAGTTAATTTGTCGACCCCACTAAGTTTTTACTGTCTGTCAATTAGAAGCTAGTTACCTTGGATCATATCTCTCTGAACACTTGTACCAGTAACTTTATATAGCTTATAGATACCATGGGCCAATTATAAAAATCTTGTTGCTTCAATTCTTGTCATACCTAAACATTCTTTGTAAAGGTGTTTTCTGTAACAGTTGATGATAGGGAAAGAAAAGAGAAGTTGTGATACCACCATATTTGAGTTCAAGGTCTTATATTGCATTTCTGTTTTAGTTTTTTCATTATTTTAATGTATTCTGGAGCTATATAGCCCGTTTGGTGCTGATGCTCCTTAATGCATTTCTGCTGCTATGAAGGTTAAGAGATCCCAATAAAGTCAGTCCTTAATTCAGACCTAAAATGGCCAAAACTATGAAGATTAAGAGCTATAGTTACAATACAGATGATGATTAAAACACAGTATCAGCTGGTGTTTGGACCAACTTGAGAAATGAGGTGAATCAAATTTCTTGATTGCAAATCAACATGCTCTTTAACTTGATTGATCACTATGCATAAAAAATGCTGAACAAGAACTTAATTGATCAGTTTCATGAATTTGATAACCAAGATCTCATCAGTTTGAAAACTCTTTCAAGTAATCAGATTGTCTGATCTGACAGTGCAGCTTTCAAAATGGAATTAAATTGTGAAGAAATGTCGCTATTTGGCATAGGACAGCAGACATGCCTTATTTTACTTGCCTTCTGAATCGTTGAAATAACTTAATTTTTAAATTAGAATACAAATGTGACTTTTGAATCTAAAACAATGGATATATTTGACTTTAAAAACATTCAAATATTTGTGCAGATTAAAATTGATTCTGTGATCATACATATTAATAGTTTATCTCAAACCAAGATAAAAACACAAATAATAGAAAGATAACCTTTATATCAAACATGAAGTACACTGGACGTCCAGTATTTATTGTCTGTGAAATAAAAGAAATGTTTGTTGTCTGAGTTATTATTTAGAAACATGTTAATAGTCTCTCCACCTGATATGTATCGCACGTTTCGCATCCTTTTTCTATATTGTTCATATTTTTATGACCTGCGTATCAATGCTGACTTATCCTGGGTTTGTCTTTGATGTCCATAGCTACAACAGAGTATTGTATAAAGTTGTTTCTAACAATTTTTATTCTTTTTGCCATATGTTTAATATTAGGTGTAAATTGGGTTGCATGTGGTTACAGTTAAAACATTTCCAGTGTTCTGCTTTTGGTTATCAGTGCCTTTATCAGGCTTTATCAAGATTAAAGATTCATAAATTTTAGTGATCCTGTACTGTATGTATATATTTGGCTGGCATTGTGTACAAAGGTTGGTTCTTATTTGCAGAAATGTTCTAAATTTAAATTTTCAATTACTGAAGTTTAATCATTGGAATTCCACTGATATTTTTTTGTTAAATAATTGAAATTGAAAATTTGGTGTATTTGTTCTGTCATATATAGAATAAAACATTAGTTATGATAAGTCAAAGATCTTTAAATGCATTTTATGTTATCATGGATTTTGAGTACATTCAAACTACCAATAATAATGTGCAAATGGTAGTCATGGACTTTAAGATTGTACTTGTTATATGAATAAGGATCAGGTAATTTCTAAAGTTTGCTGTATATTTAGCAGATCTAATGTACTTACAATAGTAGTGTTTGTTTCAGTTGTGTAATATTTGGGGTAATTTTTTGAATGAATTATTTGAAATGCCAAAAACTACAAATATTTTATTAATGTATTTTGTGTATAGGTTTTATTTATTTATTTGGTTTAAAATGGACAATGTAAGAATAATAAAGAGGAACAATTGTGATCTAATTATGACCCAACCCCTGAGATATGTGACTGGTTTATTATCCTTCAGGTTTAAAATTCTGATTTAATTATTATCACAAGATGATCCCTGTCTTACAGGTATACCATTGGTTGAAATTATCTACATTAATCGACTATTGTGTCATTTGAACCAATCAGATCCATTGTTATTATCTTCTATTGTCTATTTTTCAGGTCCTTGAGGCAAACTGACCAGAGGCTAGCAGACGACCAACCATCATTAGTGGCAGATGTCATTAGTTAAAGCAGAAACCACTTCACATTTTGACAGTTGTGCAACTAGATCTGATGCAGTGAACAAGGTTTAGAGATAACTGGAGAAATTTTACAGATATTTTTAATGATAGTAACTAGATAATATTATCAGCCCTAAATAGTTTTGACATTTTTGTTATTTGGATTAACTGTTGTGAAGGATTGAAGTGGATATTTCGTCTATCTAGTTAACGTGTGTTGAAAAGTGAATCATAAACTCTGAGGTGAATAATGTATTTTGTGAATTTATGATCTTTTTTGTGATAAGATGCAAAGATCTCTAGAAATGGCAGCTCTTAATGTGATAATTTTAATGACATTGGCAACAGTGCATATTTCTAGTGGAATTCAATTAACTTATAGAATTAAAGAAGAAGACCCAAATACTTTTGTTGGAACGATCAATCGTGATGCCAAACTCTATGAAAATTACACTACGGAAGAATATGAAAGTTTGGAATATGCAATACTTGGACAAGCTGATGGAGAAAAAGCAAAATTTGCCGTTGACAGACTGAAAAGTAGTATAACTGCCATCGGAAAATTAGACAGGGAAGAAATATGTGGAAATCGTATCAATTGTGAGCTGAAAATTGATGTTGGTGTCTATCAAATCGTAGATGTCACCAAAGATTTAAAATTGGCCATACAAGTTTTTATTATTCTTGAGGATATCAATGACAACACACCCACATTCCAAGAAACAGAAGTCAATATCACCCTTGCAGAATCAGTTGATGAAAGTCAGGAAATTCTCTTGGATGGTGCCAGAGATCCTGATGTTGGATTAAATACTGTCCAATCCTATGAACTTGTTCCTGATAATGGTATGTTTGAATTGAATGTCATGAATAACCAAGATGGCCAAGCTGATCTGGGACTTATTGTCAAGCATCAATTGGATCGTGAAACTAAAAGTACATTCAATGTGGAAATTATTGCTAAAGATGGTGGTACTCCTCCTAAAACTGGAACTGCCAGAATTCAAATCTTTGTTCAGGATGTAAATGACAATCCACCACAATTTGTTAGTAAACTGTTTGAAGAAACTGTGAAGGAAAGTGTTCCACTATTTGCACCTATTTTACGTTTGGTGGCAACTGATTCCGACTCGGGAGTAAACAGCGAACTTTCTTATTCATTCACCAGTAGAACTCCTGCTAGCATTAAGGAGTATATCAAAATTGATGAGGCTACTGGCGACGTAATTCCTATCAAACAGTTTGATTATGAAAGTGAAAATTTGTTTAGATTTTTTGTGCAGGTTGATGATAAAGGAACACCATCCAAAAAAGATCAAGCAGAAGTCAAAATATTCATAGAGGATGTCAATGACAATGGTCCAACAGTCAACATTAACCTTCCTCCCAGTGGCACCCAGTTGCTGGAAGATGCTGATATCGGAAGCTTCATAGCTCATGTGTCTGTGTCTGACAATGATGCTGGATCTAATGGTGCCATCTCATGTAATATTCCAGATGGACATTTTTTACTCAATAAATTTTCTGATAGTTCTTACAACTATAAAATAGTTTTGAAGGAATCTCTGGATTTTGAAAAATCAGCTAAACACTTGATCAATGTAACATGTCATGATGAAGGTGTCCCAGTGAAATATGGTTCATCTAGTTTTACCCTGACCGTCAGTGATGTCAATGACAATCGCCCAGTCTTCCAGAATCCTGAATATATCTTGACCTTCATGGAAAACAACAATGTTGGTGACACAGTTTTTAAAATTTCTGCAGATGACAAAGACAGTGGATTAAACGCTAAAGTTTCGTACGAAAAACTTGATGATCCAGACATGTTATTTTCATTAGAATCCAACACTGGATTGGTCAAGGCTAATAAAATATTTGATCGAGAAATAACTAAAAGTGCTACATTTAAAGTTCGAGCTAAAGATTTTGGAAATCCACCTTTAACTTCAACTGTCAATGTTCTAGTGCTAATTGGAGATGAGAATGACAATGCTCCGAAGTTCAGTCAGCCTCATTTCAGTTATTCTGTGTTGGAAAATAAACCAATTGGAACAAGTATTAGCATGTTAAATGTTACTGACTTAGACAGTGACGCTAATTCAAAATTATTATTTACTTTAACTGGAAATCCAAGAGTTGAGGATTATTTTTCTATTGATTCTACGACTGGATTGATCAGAACTGCCAAAGTTTTCAATCGTGAGAAAGAAAGTAAGTTTGAAATGTCAATACACGTTGAAGATGCTGGAAACCGTAATTTTAAAGATGATACTGAGGTTACGATTTATATCTTGGATGAAAATGACAATAACCCAATTATTAATTATCCCAACGCTAATAATAACACCATCTATGTTCCATATACTAAACCTGCTGGAACAATAGCTGCTATTATTGAAGCTCATGACCTTGACATTGATGACAATGGGGAACTGACGTACAACATTCAACAAGGTAACAAGAACAAGGTTTTCTTCATGAATCCTCGTTCAGGAGAAATTGTTATCTCGCGAACACTAAGTCTGGAAGATTCCATGGAGTATCGTTTGATGATTGCTGTTCAAGACAATGGTGAAGAGCCTAAAATCACTTACTCGGAGCTAAACATGGTGGTTACTGTTGGAAACGGAAGTCTGGCTACTTATCAGAGTAAAATTCCTCAAGAAGTGAAAGATGACAAGGATAATACTGCTATTGTTTTAACTATTGTTATTGTAACATTGGTTTTAGCTCTAGCAATTATCATAGTCATTCTAATAGTGTGTAGAATTGATAGAAATAGAAAAAAGAAAGCTGCTGCCAAAAACACCATAGTACGCTATGATAGTCCTGCTTCTGAGAGTACCTACTCTACTTCAGAGGGACATGATTATGATTCTGAAAAACAACTGAAACCTGAAAGAGTTTATACTTTAAGAGAGAATAGTGTTTCGTCTGATGGCAGTACACAGTCCTTACCCTACCCACCTATGGAACAGAGTCTTTTGAAGGTAAGAATCTATTTTTTTTATTACAAAGTTACTTTGTACCAGCAGATTTTCACGTTTGATTGCCCATTGATGAAGAGACCCATCACTAATTTCATGTTTTTTTTGACATGCATTGTTTCTAACTTCAACAGCATGATAAGTAATAACGCACCCACCCATAATCCCAAAATAATCTCTATACATCTAGATGGGGTCAGTCACCCCAAACGATACAAAAATATCTACAAATAACAAACAAAAGGTATAGAATCACTGAGAACATTTTAATGAATTTTCCTGCAATCATCCATCATTTATGGTTTGTTATTTTTACACGTAGAAAACAATTATTTACAATTCGATACAAGCTTAACATGTGGTTTTATTCCTAGAATTACAGATCTTATTTCAACTTGATTCACTTCTAAAGAATGATAATCATAATATTTTGGGTTCTGATAAGATTTACTACAGACCTCACTTTTTGCTTCAGACCACAACTGTTACGCCTTGAAAATCAAAGACTATTCATTCACCTTTTACCAGACGTAAAAACCATAATATTCTGGCCACCTTCTGAGTTGTTACAGAGATGATAGAAAATGTTATGATGTTTGTCCAACTTTCTAAACGAAAAATACAAATATATAAATTTACAAAGTATGTTTTGAAACGGTCACTATCCTGCTGATTGTAAACACTTTAATGATAATTTTACCTTCCTAACCTAGATTTCTTAGAGATAATAATCAGACACTGAATGTAGGTAGCCATCGTTTCGAACCAAGTATATTTTTTCTGTCTTTTGAAAGGCAAATCCCATTTGAATACATAAGGTTCTGAAAAACTATTTATTAATTTGACCAATTTTTTTTCAAACCATATCTCCATGGAATAAGTTATCCTTTGTTGACAGTTTAAGACACTTGATGCATTTTTTGAATTCCCACCTGAATTATTTGTTCAATAAACACAGCAAAACAGTAAGTCTCAATCCATCCCACAAATTCTATTTAAATTCAAATGCTATTCAGAGTTCACACTTTATTCCCATTATACCAGCTTAAAATATTCACATCTGCATCAAAGTATTTTATGATGCAAATTTTTAAAAAACCAACACTTGAAATAGCTGACAATAAAAGCTGTTTATTTTATTATTTCTAGCTTTGAGACTGTCTTTATTTAACATGTATTGTACCAATATGAGAAATGAGGCAGACGCAAAGCTGAAATATTCTTTCAATAAAATTCATAACTGATCATTGAATTATTAAAAATGGGTGGTTCAACATTATTTCAATGAGTTGTGTTGACACCTTTAGATCATAACTTGAATCAAACTTTGTTGATTTAAGATTTGTAGTTCTCATAATTAATTTGTACAACACCAACAGGACTTCTAAATCCTTTACGTTACAATATTTACCCAGCATTCTTTTGAAAAAAATAGACGTCATGACATTTGTCTGAATCATAAATGTATGAAATTCATTATCAAAGTCACAAAATAATCTGAACATTTCAGCTACAATCGTGATCTGGGTGGTGAGAAAATCAATCGCACGTTCCTAATATTTTATTTGTGGTCTGATGCCATCGTCTTTCTGTACAAATTAATCTTGATAACAGACAACAATTGTAAAACTAACAAACTATTTACTAAAACGTGTTCGAGTTGGTTGAGTTAACTTTTCGTAATTGGTCTAGAAACTCTTCATAACATGTTTAACCCGTCTGAAGATTTCGACTCGGCGTGTGATGAAAGTGTGTCTTGTTGTCACAGTCTTCACAAAAGAATACAAAAGATGCGTACAATGTTTACGTGGTCATCTTTTTGTACATAACGCCTGTGGTCAAAGGTTTACATGTATTACCATGGCGATATTATGTACATTTCTGCGTTCCTTTCACAAGATTTTAAATGTTTAAAGTCAGGAAAAGTTACATGTTGGTAATTTGACGGCAAACTTGACCAGATTAAAAGTGTGAAGAATGTTGATCCTTTTCGTTTTAACACACCGCTAGAACTTGGCGCTAGAATTGTCTGTATTTAACTAGTGATTAGCCATATTGAATATTTGCTGCAGCATGTAACATTACTGACTATATCTGATAAGGAGTATTAACAAGTGAATGTATCTTTCAATTTTACCATTTCTAAATCTACTCATCAAATTCGTGTGATGTAATCATCAAATAATGTAGAATGTAGTTGATTTTTATTTCCAATAAATCCCTCGTTGAAATTCCCAAGAAAAATGTATTGTTAAATTAAAGAAGCTAATGACACATGTTTAAATATTGATTTACAAGAAAAACAGCAAATAACAATGGAGATTAAATCCACAAAAAACAAAAAGTTTACTATTTTGACTAACCACATTTATGGTTAGACATAGAAAAATCTCTAGGATACATTCTTTTTACTTGGAGTTCTTATCCTTATAAATGAAAAAAAGAACAGACTTGATGAAAGTTTTTGATGATTAAGCTGAATTTTCTGACAGTACAAAGTCATTTATAATTAATATAATTAACATACTTAGAATTCTGTTGACAATTGAACATCAGAATGGGGATAAATTCACACTCATTGCACATACATTGACAATAATTGACAAATAATGCACATGTTTTTTTCATATAAGAAATGATTATTGATGACAGTGCTTTCATCTTTCTCACAAAACATAGTCAAATACACATAAATATTTTAGTATTTGGTACAATTATATCAGTTAGTCAAGTATGACATAGTAACTTAACATCAGAATCAATCTAGTACCTGGAGTGGGACTTTCACATTAAAATTCTTGAAAAAAACTGAAGCAAAATATTTTGTGAAAGTTAATTTAACAGTCCATCATTTTAACACTGCAAGAAATTGATAATAAACATATCCAGTCCACATCCTTTTTACTTTATGTACAATGAGTTGATAAATAATAGAAATTTCTCTAAGAATATGTTATTGTTTTTAAATGACATATGGTGTATGAGAAATGCATTAATTATTACAGTAAGGGATATCATTTGATGTCTGTCTCTATTGTGATAGGCTTTACTGAACGGGTTCTGATTCACTACACAATGGTTTTTAGAGCATTCTGTTACATGCCATTGCTGTTTTTAAAATACTTAAACATTCATGTGATTGGTTTTAAAAGAATGTTGTTTGCAAATTTGCAACTTGTATTTCAGCCTTCCAGTAGAAGTGGATCATCCCAATCATTAAAAGCAAGACAATCTCCTACCACTGAGCCTGTTGAAGATCCTTATAGAAGTCCAAGTAATATACACATCTGGTTACAGGATCAGGTATGTTTTAACGTATAACAAACTTTGAGTTCCACAAAACACATTAAAAATGTGTCATATATCTATCACAAAGTCTTATTGTGTTGAAATCCTGAAGGTGATATGACACTTTAATTCTGTTTAATAGAACAAAAGAGTAGCTTGTGGGCACATTTTTCTCAGTTTCTGCAAAATCTCTATTTTTATGCTATGAAATCAATGATAACAGATCATTTGGTTTCTTGGATAAAATTCAGAAATGAGATACCTTTCTTCTCCCTTGGTACCTCATTAGACGAGACTCTGTGGTAACCTGTACAATTTGGCGAGCAGACACCATTCTTTATGAATGATCTAGATATACAGTTACCTCTTGGTTATAATAAAATAAAGGAAATCTGTTGTTTTTATTTGGCACAAAGACACTTTATTAATTTTTCTAAGAAATTTTGACATTTGGTAAGAGAATCTGAAAACAAACAAAGAGATAACAAAAGTTTTCCTCTCAGGCCATCCTATCATGTGGTGACGTAACCAAAACGGAGAATAATCAAAGAATTATGTATTATCATCATATTCTCTGTCAGTTATGTGAACTCAGAAATACTGATGAAGTCTCGACTATTCGCCACAAATTCCTACATCCTTGCAACAATGACTTCCATTCCTTAACCTTTACACAAGGGACATGATTATCTGATATTGTTGATTGTCAACAGATGACAAGGAAACTTATTACCCCCTTGTACATTATACGACCCATCTGTGTCTGCTTCAATCTTCCTTCTTCGTTATATTTTTCATCCATGTCTGCAACTCTTTTAACAGTTATTGATGTTTTTTCCTCAAAATTTTGGTATCTCAGAAAGGTTTAACATTTTGAAAATACAAATGAATAAAAGTTGTGTAGTACATGTGTTTCCTACACAATGTCTGGCATCAGTTTCATTCAGGAAACTCATACTTCTTGATGAATTTGCACATTTCAATATGATATACTTTGATTATTTCATTGTGAGCCAAAAGGCACATTAAGGCCATTGTATTTGTTAAATTCTTTAGAAAATAAATTGTGCAGTAGAAATATTGACAAAACAAAACTTCATGAATTGAAAATCACACTAAACAATATTTAGAAACAGTTCATGAGATAAAACTCTGATATCTGATACAACTCAGAGTTAGATAATTTCTGGTGTATTTTGGAAGATTTTATACTGTATATTTTCTACATCCCTTCCTCTATACATTTTCAGACTTTAACAAAGATACCAGAAGATTCAACCAGTCAACTATCTGGTGGTACAGAAGTTAGTGAGAGAGATAGTGGTCGTGGTACTAGTGAAGAGGATAGTAAAATATATCACAGTGATCCAGGTATGTATTGGTCCTTTCCATTTAACATCATAAATTAACAGGATGGTGGATTGAATCAAGTTGTCATAATGATCAATTTAAGCACCACTTCCATCATTTTCATCCAGCTAGTATCTTATATATATTTGATACATTAAATTAAGAAGAGTTTTTAATACTGCTCAAATTGAGGATGCATCCTAATTGCAACTGTAGAACAATGACCTCAATATAGAAGATATTTGACCTGTTTAACATTGAAATCTCTTGTCAAGATCAAATCAGATAAACATTAATGGGCAAAGTGTGCAGTGTTGATCTGAAAATATTGCCACCTCAGCCATTCAACATTTAACTCCAATATACCCAAAACACAAGAACACAAACCAAATTCAGCCTCATGGAGTTTACTTATCTATTATACAATATTATAATAAAAATCATAATGCTCTTGAAAAAGTCTCAATCAAATGAAAATATTTGATGTGAAAATACATCTTGAGGTATTTAAACACTTGTATTTCTCCCCTGGTTCACCCTACACCTGCACTCTGATACAGGCTGGTTAAACTCAAGTGGTTCCTCCACTCAATATGAAAACTATCAGATAAAAGTTGTGTTCAACTGTAATAATATTGTACATTAAACCAAAGTCTAGCCTAGAGCTTTTTAAAGATTATATTTAAAATAAGATAGCTTCATTAGCTTTCTAAGATGGCTTACTTTACCTTGCCTATAGGCAAAATTATATCATATTTTTGGATGCAATAATGTTTTATTTTCATATAGAATTTCAAAAAACCTGCATAATAGTGTTTCCTGCCAGATTCTGATGCAAGTTTTAAATTTGTCAAGAATAAAATCTTGCAATTTGTTTTTTCACCATAAACAGATTAACGCTATGTAAATTGATGCAAGAAATTTGCCTAATTTGTGCAGACACCTGCCTTTTAAAATACACAATACCCTTTAGTTATATAGATTATATTTAAAATATCATAGGCTCATTACTGTAATCATTATGGCTTGAGAAATATCTATTAGAATGGCCCCAAGGCAACAAGCCATTGTACGATCAAATTTACCAATAATGACATCATTATAAACCTGATGATTTGACACTTTGCGTAAGAAATGAATTGAAGGGTTTTACTAGTGAATCAGTTATCTACTTCAACTAAAATCTTGTTAAATATTGATACAAAACATTCTCATTATTACCCATTGTACTTGTACACTTGACATGTAATATTACGCAATTGAATACACAACTTTTCTTGCTCCCTTTCATCTTCATATCTTCAAGTACTGACCTATAGTGTGAATAGTATTAAAATGAAACTCTTCAATATCTGGAATTGTTAGAATTATCTCCCTTGAGTGTTGCCAAAGGCGATTTTAATAGATAATAGTTGAAAAAATAAACTCGTGTCATATTAGTGCTGGTTGATTGGATGTAACTTATTATCTGATGACCATCCCACCAGTAACATCAAGTACCTACGTTACCTCATACCTTAGACCTGTCACCCTCATAATCTGTCCTCGTTCAAACAGTCCCATCAAACACTACATTATCAGCCATTTTGTCCTCTCATGCCTTCAAGGGGAATCAATTTGTTGAATTTTCAGCTTGGTTGATTGTTAATTAATTTACAAATTCAATATGGCTATTTTATTAGAGTCTCAAGTAGTGTTCTTATAATGGAATTACAGTCAATGACATAATATTTAATTTATTTGAAATAATTTCAGACATTTTATCACAATTTATATCTAGTTATTTGACTTTAGAGATAACAAATATGATGATTAAAATCTTCAAAGAGAATATTAATCCAATCCTTCTTGACGAGCCAACATTTGTAGTTACGACAACCAATTTTAAGACTTTTTAAGAAAGAATTCACTTTAAATTGTCACAAGATTCACTCATATAGTATGCAATTACCTGAAGCACACTTAGCCGCCATCATCAATTGAATAATCACTTTAAGGAAATTTTTTCATATATCGCTTTCAGTTATATGTATAATTTGCGTCAATAAAGGCCAATTTTTTAGAGCATGTATGACAAATGACAGTTGACATCGAGATTGACACAATATTGTTATATGATGGATTATAATCATGTTACCAATTGCAAATTAAACAATTTCACTTATTTTCCTCTTTATGTCATCAACATAGATGCATCTTTGTCAGAACATAAAAGAAATGAGATCGATAAAAAGCAAGACATTTTGACTTGAGGGTGAATGTTTTATTACTGAATATTACAAGATTAGCTTTGTCATAAGCTGTTAAAAATATAATCGCAACAATGTACATTTAATATTAGTTTTCTTCCGTTCCAATAATCACCATCGGCCTCAATTTCTTTCTGGCCCTAGTTATGATTTAAAAAATATCCTTGCCGATTTTTATGAACAATCCAGCTGTAGGCTAGATATATGGCTACATTATTTTGTCAAAGTTGATTTGTAAAATGACACGTTGGATGTGTACGCATGTAGGAAATAACATACCATAATATGTCTAGCCTGCAGCAATTGTCAAATCATATTAGTATAACTTAATGAGCTTTTTAGTTGACATCAAGGGGAGTTAACTGGTGATTGTTCTAAGCTAGATATTATTTCAAGGTACTATTAAAATGATGTAAGTGTATTATGATGACAGGAAATGACAATCTTAACCTTTCTATTAGGGTGTTTTCTATACCAAGCTGTACCTGACAGGCATGTAATACAATACATTAGACTAAAGCTAATATTACCCCAACTACTTCAAATTTTATTTCTTTCAAATTGACATGACGCGACTGGTTTGTAATGAATTATAATATATTTGCAATAAACCCTTTTATATTCAATCAACACTATATCAGCATATCACAAATAATATAATAATCAAAGATATTTTTTAGGTATACTTATAGAACAAAATTTCCTCTGGTATATTAGTATTTACATTGTGATTATTATAAGAAAAATAAATGAGCAGGAATCTACCAGGTCATCCACAAATTAATTCATTAATCTAAGAATCTAACAGAATAATGTGATTTCACACCTACAAGCTCTTAGAATGGTTATTCCATTAAACATATCACTTGACAAAGAAGACAGAAAGATTCTCCTAGTTTGTTTGATGAAAATCTGATATAGTTGATCACATTCCAATATCAGCAACTTAATCAAAATATTAGATTTCCCACACTTGTCCACACTGTCCGAAATCTAATAAATTGCTTTTCCCTCGTCAACCATTGTTATTCACTGACCCAAGTAACAACCTCGAAGCAAGAAAATAATAGTATCGCAGAAAATGTAATAAAATGGAGGAATATTAAGAGAAGTTAAAAATATTGTTTCTCTGATTCATCTTATTGATTGCTTTAAGATTTAATTGCCGTCAAGAATGTCAAATGGTTTTTGGATATTGTTGCCATTTCTTTAATGTTCCTGCAAATTAGAATCCAGGAATTTAATAAAACAAACACAGATGAAGGCATGTGTCGTCTTAAATTCTGCAGAAATCAAATACCAATCTCTTCTTCTAATTCCCAATAGTTAATTAAGGCAGCTCGCCTGTGTAATAAAATATATCTGATCTGAAGAATAAACATAATCAGAATCAAATCTGCATTTCCTGGATAATGATATGCATAAATACACCATGATCCGGATTAAAACAGGATTATGGAGAATGATAGTCATATTGATTGATATTTTATTGTTTCCTTAAAATCCCAATCAAGAGCTATTAAGATAAATCCAAGATATCCTTGTAAACTGGTATTAGGAAAGGGAAGCAATAATGACATTTCAACGATAAGAAAAGTTAGAATATGTAATTTTGCTTGAAATTCAATTTTCTTTTCTTTATTTTTCAGAAGACCAACGACCATTCAGCTCACCTTACAACAATGGAAGCAAAAGAGTTCGATTTTCGGAAAATAACAAAAATCATCAACAACTTCCAATGACCAATCAACGGACACCAATGACTTATCTACACAACGGACATAATCCACATAATCCCAGAGACAATGTTTCGAGGAATATCGCAAATAGTTTCCGCAATTCTAAAAACTCTATGGGAGAGCGTGGATATCCTCCACCACCTCCACCTAGAGGGAAACATACATTTCCTTCCGGCCCTTATAGTGACATTTATAATAATAGTATATCAGAATCTATTAATGAAGATGGTGGATCTACGACAACATCGGGAAGCTACACGATAGCCAACGCTTACGAACTATGTGACGATATTGATAATTTATTCTTCAAAAATTCCCCAGGAACCACCGTTGTGTAGAAATATAATTTCAATAACATGAAAGACACAGACTTTCATTAAAGGACAAATCGTTTTGAAGGTTTTCTCTTGGAGTGTGATTTTTGCATTTGAAATTTTGCTTTGTGACAAATATTTACATAGTAAAAGTAGAAATATTTGTGTTTCATTTTGCTATAATAGAAGTGTGACTCTATTGAGATATTTGCTTCCAAAAAAGTTGCAAAAAAAAAACAATGAATTCCAATTGTGATAATTATTGTTAATGAGCATTGCTCAATAATTTAAATCAAATAATAATCCTGTATAATATTGTTATTGTATAATGTTTTTTTGTTAGTTTTGTTATACCATATCATGGTTGGAACTTCAAGATGCCCATGAATATGGCAAATTTGCTTCCTAGATTTGCTCTATGCAGAGATTCTATATTTGAACAGATAACCAAATAAAGTTCCCTTTATTGTGACATGAAATCAATTCTTGTTTGAAAATGTTCTTAATTGCTTATAAATAAAGGGTTTGAATGGCAAAATTGTACAGTCTTGATAAAACTTGAACTATGTGGATACTAGAAAATGTTTTCAAAAAGATGTAACTGCCATACATACACTAATGATGAATCATTTCAAAATATTTACAAATACATTTACTTTCAAAATAAGCCAACACAAGACAACTAAGACAATATTGAGATTTTGATATGAATATTTATATAAAATTCATATAACCAATTGCAAAATATTATTATTTAAACATCGAATAGTAGTTTAATTTTTTACTCAGTTTCAATTTTATGTTTTTGCATATCAACTTGACTCAAGTATTAGTTTCATATTTGAATATAGCTGCTGTAACAACATTTTGGGTTAGAAACCCAGTGTCAGTTATCAATGAAAATACTGCTGACTTCAAACTTAAGAATGACATGTACTTAATAAACAAGATTTATTCTTTTGCATGATGCTGCTTAAAATTTATGTATTTTGATAACGTTTTATTTTTGAATGTTTTATTACTGAATAAGTTCTTAATATTGATTTTGGAATGTTGACAATGCAGTGCAATATGTATAAAAACAATTTCATAATTTGAACTTTGTCTCAATGAACCATAATGATTACTTTAGGGTTCGCTCAAAATGTGCACCAAGGAAAGGGAAACTCATGTATCCATATATATGTATAACTGTCTTGAACCAGAACATTTTTGTGGTTCAGTTGGCAGAGCAGATTCCCTCCATCCTGGAAGTGTTAAAATTTGTGTGAATCCTGAATAGTGATAGTGCTAGAAATGTAAATATATATAATAGACTATCTATAAATTATTCCAGATAATAAACATTGTAAATAAAATCAATAAATGAAATTTATTAGACTACACCCACATATACTTTATTTTATTTTAATGGATAAAAAGAAAAAAAAGCCGCACCAAAGACAAATGGGGGAACAGTTAGTTTTGGTGCACAAACAGCAAGCATAATAATAAGTAGAGACAAGTTTACACAAATAATGCTAATTTATTTTGGGATTTGAGACCTCTTATTTAGCAGGTGTATTCTTTCAAGCCTACCAATGCTCATTACAATACTGTATCCATTATGGATAAGATCTAGATCTAAACGGGAAGAAAATTGGGGATTCATTAGTCTTCTTGATGGGGGTAATAAATCAAAGTAGAGTCAGATAGGAAGACAGGTTACTGAGGATAAAAGGGGGTTTGTGAACTCAAGATGAAAACTGAACCCAAACAAAGGATAAAAGAGAACCTGCAGTTGATCCCACGACAATGGAAAGTTTAAATATCAATACTGATACATATCTAATATACTCAACAAGTCTAAATAACTCCAGTACAATTTGTATCACTTTCACAAGCCATTAACCTTCATAGCAGTCTTGTCACAACTTCTCAACACCTACAATTGCGATGTAATCTCTGTTACAAAGCACACCCATTCAAAAAGGGAATAAAAGAAGGGTATTACGCAAGATGGCGGCTGATGCCTGGTGTATGAATTTCTCTTCAAGATCATCACGTTTCAATAGCCCTTAATTTAACTGGAATTAATTGGCTATCAATTTCTCACTGGGATGTTCAAGGTCATTGGCCAAGGTCATCACAGAATCTGAACATGAATGTTATCGCAGTCGGAGATTCTTTGGCTGGCCGACTTCGGCAGATGTCCAACATATCTGAACATAGTTCATTATTCGGGCGATTAATCAAAACTTCCTCTAAATACATTTGGGAACACATGGACAGGCCCCGAAAAGGTGGGCATTCGTGCCAAGTAAGGCCACATCTTAATATGCTGCCCTAAATGTTTGCAAAGAAAAGAGCATTAACAACCCAGGCTAAGATGCACTTTGAAACTTAATTAACAGGTCCAAAGCCCAACAATCGTGGTATAAAAATTAAATTCAATTTATCCAGACGAGCAAGGATGTGAGCTGTCAGCAGTCTGAAAGGATCGTCACCAACGATAACATTTTAACATCAATAACAGTCAAGTTATATCACATGTTGTTCCAGTGTGACACTCTGTTTGGTCTTTACCCTTATTCTGATGATAGAAGACAAATCAAGAGAAAGCGACATACTTCAACATGTCATTCTGTATTGTATTCAAATTACGGCTAATGACAGTTGATTTTCAGCGCCAACAATCAACAGTTTACCACCTGCTATTAGAAATAATGGCGAGGATTCGACTAGACTCTGACACTGTTGCTTGTTATGCATTCTGAAAATAAATGAACACACTCTAGCAAATTTTTATACACCCTTCATCCCTCCACATTTTCCAATATTGATAGTCCCTGAAGAACCACATATAAAGACTGAAGCGCCCGAGAGGGACTGACATCAGTACTAATTAATACCTAAGAGATTATTCTGAGATGAATAAATCTACATATTTAGCAGCCGTATTGCATGTATATGTACATTGAAAACCATAAGCTACATACGACTCACTCACTTCTACAGATATCCTAGCGTCAGTGTCTAAGTATAAAGTTACCAATGTACTATGAAGTACCAATGTATGTACTAGTGTATAAAGGTAGATAATTCCTTCTACGATATTGAACTCATTGTTCAGAACTCCAAGCAATACATGAACCCATGACATTTGCTGTTGAACCATCTTTATCTCAGACAATTTGGAAACATGAGATGGAAAAGATGAGTTTTGTAATTTGGCAGATGGCAATAGTATTAGTATTTATCCCTATCAATCCATCAACTTCCAAATTGGCTATTTTATTAAAATATATCTTTGAACTTAAATTGAAACTAAATCCTTCTGTTTTGAATGATGATTAATTTAGTTTCGCATGTCTAGAGCACTGGTTAGACAATGACAATATTCAATCATTTTGGACGGTAGATTTATTAAGATCGAGTCCTTAGCTCTTGATAATAATAGTAGTAGTTAGAAATAATGAGACCTATCGCTTACCCTCATCGCTATGTAATTTTGGTATTAGGTTTATACCCGAGAATACCCATCCTGAATGACCCCGAAATCGCTACCCAAATTACAACCTTTATTAATTTAAAGGTGTGTGAAATCAGCCCCTATATTTGAGACCCAATTGTCAGTAATATGAGCTAATAATAACTGGTTTTATTAGTCAATTGTCTCTTAGATTCTTTTAACCTGTCAATTTTATCTTTCAACACCGTTTGGAAGGTTTGTCATATGTAGTCCTTCACTATTCAGGGTATGCAAGAATTGTAGTAATTTAAGATCTGGTGGTTGGCCACTTTGTTTGGTAGCTACCTCGAATGTCATGCCATTCATGTTCTAATACTATGGCAAAGAAGTAATAGCCATTCAACAATGCTACTGTGGGGCTTCTGGATACAGATTCGCTTTCAACTGATTTGCCGTGGAATTCTTTACAAAAAGAATGAATGTCCAATATGCAGCTCATATTATTAATTTTAAAATGCATTTTCACGTTATTTTCATGTCATGGTTTCGCAACAGTTTATTTTTTGTGAATATTGTTGATGAGATGCTTCCAATGTTTTTCATTCACACTTTTCATAGGTCTTACCCTGCAAATACAATTGAGAATGTGCTTTAATTCCTTCTTTTACCAAGTTTATAGCATAATATAAGAAATTTGATAAAAAATTCAAACCAAACCTTAAACAATGGTCATTCATTATAAAACGTTCCAGACAAACTCGAGAGTTGTGTACCTCACACACCAATGTTATCTTACCATTTTTTTTTTATAAACACACCAAGCTTTGTTCTCTGTCTTGATTTTTCACAGATCAACACAAAACTTCTACAGTCATATCACACACAAACGTCAGATGTATCTTTTCAATTCAAAGATCTTGTTTCTTCTTTTTTAACAGGATATTTTTAAGATACTAACAATTCTTGAAATTGGATGTCATTTCGTGTACAATAAACGGAACTCTATTTTTTCAGAATGCTCTTTTAAGACTGATACATATATGTAGCCCTGTGCAAGTTAATACTAGAATATATGCAATAAGACTCAAGTTTTGTTATATGATGCATTATATCTATATTCTGAACAAAGATGTACTAATATTTTGAAATGGAATTTGTATGATTATTGGAAAGATAACTCCTGACGGCTTATTGAATAAATCACCCACTATATATCAAATATCGATTTTCTTATCTGTGATATAGCCATATAGATTCGTAGGCTACTGATAGATGTCTACTCCATTACTAGTCCCGTAGTCTACTGTACATGCTTCGATACAATATGGAATATGATTGCACGAAACGCAAATTTTGACAATAAAAAACTTTAAAGCAAATGTCAACGACTGTTTTTGTTTGAAAGTTGTAATATGATATTAACTTAATTCTAATACTTGATAATTAATAATATGTAGTTGTCTCCCCTTAGTAATCCTGAATATGTACGGATTTCAATCCATTTTCTCTCATTACTGGATACGACTTCCTTATAATTACTTTCCATCAAAATAAATGCATTTGGAATTATATC